GAAAACCACGTACAGGAAAGGCAGGTTGGAATAGACAGTTAGAGGATGGGCTCTCAAATCATTATCTTGGCACCCTACTTTGACTGCTTTTGAGTTCTGCAGCCCTTGGCAATTATCTCAAGCTCTCCGAACACTGGATTTCTAGATGCAAAAACAAGGTTGTTGTTGTTTCTTCCTGGGACTCTTCAGTAAGTTCATGGTTGAAGCACTTAGCACAGCATATAGTAAAAGCCCGATAATTGCAGACCAGAGGGAAGCTGGAGAGTTGCCAGGCACTGAACTCCAGGCTACGAGACCCAGATACTTAATGCACTGATCTCCAGAAGCCGGAAATCTGCATTATAGGAAGATGACAAAAATGCACACAGAACTGCCTATTTGTGTTCAGTGTTAGAAGGGAAATAATTTCCTTAGTTGGGATTGTTTCTTGTACTAGTTTTGAGATTAGGAGCATGTGTCTTCCAAATATGCACAAATAATTTAACACTCTTTAATGAGAGGCCCCTGGATGGAGAAGTAGGGAATCAATTTTCAACTACCCTAGTTCCACCCACGGCTAACCGTGTAGCCTGTACAGGTTAAGTTCATTAACTGAAATAGTTATCAAGCACTTATTATGAGTTAAGCATTGTGACTAGGGCTGGGGTTTAGTGGTTGCTGTGTAAACTACTAAAGTTTACCAGTAGCTGTTTTCTTTGCTCCTTAGGCACACTGTTGGACCACATCCACTAGCTTCCCTTGTAGTTAGGTGAGACCATATGGCTTGGGTTCTGACCAAGGAATGTGAATAACTAAAGCACTCACTGTCTCATCTAGCTCAGAGAAACCTCCCACAGATTACCATCTTCTCTTTTCAGCCCTTCATAGAACCAAAGCAAGAGGCAGGTACAGGCAGAGCTGAGCCCTTAAATCCTGGGCCCACGCTGGACTGTGGTATGAAGGGGAAGCTCTTCTTTACTGTGTTTTGCTGAGATTTAGATGTTTATCTGTTTAAAAATTAGCATTACTGGGACTGGAGAGATGGCTCAGTGGTTAAGAGCACTGACTGTTCTTGTAGAGGACCCGGGTTTGGTTCCCAGCACGCACATGGTGGCTAACAACCATCCATAACTCCCATTCCAGGGGAATCCAACACCCTCTTCTGACCTCTATGGGCATTGCACAACACAGATGCACTTACACACATGCAGGCAATATACTCATACACATAGAAAATAAAAATATAAATAATTTTTTTAATTAGCATTATTTTCCACGTCAAGTGACACTGTGAACAAGGCATATCCCTGGCACTGTGGAGTCTGTGGACTATGACAAAAGCAACTCATGACACAACTATGATGCCATGTGAGAGCTGCAGGGTAGGGATGATGAGACACAGCAGTGGGAGCAAGAGGATAGCCCAAGTTAAAATAGAGTTAGGGAATTTCTCTGGGCAAAAGAACATTTATGGTGAAATCCGAAGGCAGGTGCTGCCAGCTTGGACACCATAACACTGAGTGGCCTCAGGTGCATCAATTTATTTCTTCAGTGTTGTAAACCAAAAGACCAAAATCAAGGCGTTGGCAGAGTTGGCTCCTTCCAAGGTCTCAATCCCTAGCTTAGGATGTTGTATTGCTCCAGTATCTCCCTTCTGTGCATGTCTGTCACCCCATTCTCCTTTCCTTTTAAGGACCCTGACCATCTTACATTAGGGCCCAACCCATATTACCACTTTACCCAATTTAGCTCTTTCAAGTCCCTAAATACCACTATAGCCACATTCTGGGTGTTAAGAATCTGTGTGAAGTACTAGAAAGAGATGGCTCACCAGTTAAGAGCACTGACTGCTCTTGCGGAGGACCTGGGTTCAGTTCCCAGCACCCACATAGAAGCTAACAACCATCTGTAATCCCAGTTCCAGGGGATCCGATATTCTCTTCTGACTTCCGCAGGCATGTCATGCACATGGTGCACCTATATACATTTAGACAAAACCTTCATTCGTGTAAAATTAAATAACTAAATAAATTGTTTAAAGATTCTGTGTGATTTGAAGAAACAAAACTCAACCCAGAAAAGATGGGTAAAAAAATCAATCACTTGAAGGGTTAAAGTGACCTTAAATTTCCTGTCTGGTCTGGTGATGGCAACTGGCACAGGGAAGGCAAGAGGATGAGGGATAATCTCAGACTTCAAGGGGCTAACGGTATCCCCTGAGCAATCAGACCACAGACTCACAGAACTGTGTTGATTGCAGATTTGGAACTTGAGATATTCAAAATCAGGTGGTAGGACAGGGAAAAGCAGTAGGCCACCACTGTTGTCTACAGATGAGACGAGACTGACTGCAGATTTATAGATCTGGAATCTGCATGGGGCTGCCACATTCATGAAGAATCCCAGGGGGCTTTTAGAGTAAAGCTTGGCCTCAGAAAGATCATAAGAATGATTGCTACCTGGCCACATGCAGAGACTGAGAATCAATGGATGAAAGATCAATCCGAATAAAGGATCTATTAATACAGATAACAGATCCCAACAATTAATCTTCAGGAGGCTGGCAACTGCCAGTTACAGCAAGCTGCTGCTAATGATTGATGTAATGGAATCATCCCCAGCTGCCAGATTGCTGAGTTAGTAATTTTCACATTTATTTTCCTACTTAGATTGAATGGTTTTCAGCCCTAGAGTCAGAGGCTGAAAATATACAGCTCAGAAGACCAATGTCTGATCTATAAAAAGAAAAGTGTCTTTCTTGAGTGACTAAACTTTTGTAATATGGATCTGATAGAAGGATTTGCTCAGAAATCAGGAATATCACCATCCATTTGAAGGCTGACATCGTGAATGAAAAAAATTACATGTCTAGAAGACAGATGTACTTTAGAGCATTCTTTTGTTGATGTTGATGTTCTGGGTTCTTTCAGAATACCATGGACCAACCTTGTATATCCAAAACCTATGACACTGGATCTTTTATACCTGGATTTGAATATCTTCCCAGTGGATTCCCGCATGTTCTTCAGAGATAACCCCATCACCCCCTCCAGGATTTTTGGTGTTTTGTTTTAATAAATTATACTATCAACATGCACCCTAAGTCCATCTTTTTCCACATTCATTCTCGCCATCTTTGCCCAAAGCACCTGTTTTTACCTCAACTCTTCCAGGGCTTCCTCCCAGGTCTCCCTTCATACAGTCTTATCCTCTGTAGTCTGACCTCATGAAGACATATAAACAGTACATATTGCTACAATTGCATTCCAAGTAAAATTTGGCCTAACACCTTAGGTGCAAGTTCAGTGTAAGATGGTCCTGCTGACCCACACGTCTTCCTTTGTTACCAAAGTCATCTGGGAGTCTGCTCCATCTAGAGGTCAGACAACCACTCCATAGAGCTTCCCGTCCCCTGTCCTCCTTCTTCGTAGCTCTCTTCTCCCAATCCCCACAGTTCGGATCTTCCACGAACTGTGCCCTCATCATGTGTAGCTCAGCTCTCCAAGAGGCCTTCTTAGATCAAACCACCAAAAGTAGCACTCAGCTCCTCCCAACCACAGTCAGTTCCCTGCTTAACCTCTCACAATGCCTGGGATTGTTCATTTTCAAGTCATTTATGGGACTGAGGATGTGATTCAGTTTGTAGAGGGCTTGCCCAAGGCCCTAGATTTGGTCCCCAGCATTCAATAAAAACTAAACACAGTGACCTATGCGTATAGTTCCAGTACTTCAGGAGGTTGAAGCAGGAGATCACAAGTTCAAGGTCATCCTATGCTACATAGTGAGTTTGAGGCCAGCCTGGGATAAATGAGACCCTTTGTGAAAAAAAAAAATATTCATTACCGGTCCTCCTCACTAGACATTAGACTCCATAAAAATACTTTTCCTGGGCTGGTGATACACCTCAGTGGGTAAAAGTGCTTGTCACCTGGTCTGACAAGCTGAGTTTCACCCCAAACCCACCTGGTAGAAGCGGGGAGTGGCTCCTGAACGTTGTCCTCTGACCTCCATATGCACACTGTGACACTTGTGCACCCCACACAGTAAACAAACAAACAATTAATTAATTAATTAATTTTAAATGCTTTCCTTTTAGGTTTACTTGTGCTTCACCCAGTCTGCAGGAGAGTTCCAGGAATACAGCAAATGTTCAGACTTTCTTGACTGAAAACTCCAATCTACCATTTTCTGCTTTAAATTTCCATCGCTTCCCATTCCCACTCTACAAAGACACTTGCCTCATTGCAGAACACAGTCTGATTTGTCAAACTCTCTTCTCATCACTGATGAAGAGTTCCTAGCGGGAAAGGTGCTCGTGGAGAAACAAGGTGTGTGAAAGCTGAGAAAGCCGCCTGTGGAGCTCATGCTTCTCAACCCTTCATGGAGTGAAAATCATCCAGGGGACCTTGTTAAAATGCAGCTTCTGAGTTGGTCTGAAGTGGGGCTTGGGAATTTCCCACGAGTGCCCCTATGGTGTTAGTGCTGTCCGTTCTTGCCATAGTCGGAGCGGAGAGACTTGCAGCGGACCGGTGAGGCTTCACAGACTTGTTTTTCATTCCCTCTGTGTTTGCTATAAAGCCTTACAGACTCTCTCTAGTGGATGTAAGCTATATGCTAATTTAGCTTATATTATACATATGGAAAAGTTAGTGAATGAACCCACACTCTCAAAGTTATAGGCAAGGAAACTGAGTCATAAAGGGTTAGATAATTTGATCCCCAACTAGCCAGGTCCTGTCTAGGATTCTTTCTTCCTACCCTTTTGAGCCATGAGGTTTTTGTTTTTTGTTTTTTAATTTCATCTGTTAACTGAAATTGTGGTCTAGATGTTCAGTGTCAAATATGAGCTGCTTAACCAAGCATGGTGATGCAGGCCTGTAATCCCAGCACCTGAGAGCCTGAAACGGAAGTATTCCTGCAAGTTCAGGGCTAGCTGGGTTACACAGCCAGACCTTGTCTCAACAACAAAACCTGGAACAAAAAGCTGAGTGCTATGTGCAGGTAGTGCCCCATCCTGTTACCTGAGTCAAAGAGAGCAGAAAGGCATTTCAGGGCATCAGTGGTGACTCTTGGAGCATACAAGGCCCCCACAGGCGGCATGACCATTCACTCTTCTCATCCTGCAGAATCACATATTCCAGAAAGACACTCCTGTTATCGTTTACAGGACAGCAATGCCGGTGGTTGCAGAGAGGCAGCTAGAGTCTCACTGAGCCCTGTGGAGAAAGACATGATTTTGTGGATCTAAACAGAGAAGAGCCTGACCACCTGGGTCCATGTGGTGAGAGGCAGAAGACCAGGAAGAGCCTTCCTGCCTTCCTTTCCAAGGCTTAGAAAAGACGGCTACACTGCAGCTCCAACCTCTGCTAACACGCACAGAATGGCTCCACCTGGCCAGATGGCCCTTTGCTCACAGCCATCTGAAAACACACGAGCTTGCTAAGGATTCTTCAGGCAGAAGCACATGCCAAGCATTCACACCCAAGATCAATCTGAGAACAGTCCACTCTGACCATCAGGCAAGCACGGGCAGCCAAGCACAAAGAACGACCAGAGGGACCAAGGCTCATAACTGCTTAAGCTACCACCACCACATGGGGATTGACCTTAGGACAAGCATGAAACCCACCCCCGGAGAGGCGGATGCTGCCACAACTCTGACCCAACACAGGCTTCCTCCTGACTCCCTGCTTCCATCATTTCCAACCATGCTGGTCCTATAAGGTGTGGTTGTTACACTGGTCCTTCCAATCCGTCTTTTAAGTGGCATGCGCATGGCTTATGTTGTAGCTCAGGGGCCAGTCCATTCTAGTCTGCCGAGAACTGTGTTGTTCCTGCTGCCCAGATGACTCTGTGGGCACTGAGGAAAGTCGAGCGTCTCCAAGGGCTGGTGTAAAGAGGAGGGGTAACAGCTATTTCCTCCTTTGCTGTGAGCAGCATGAGAAGAGCTAGTTTTTCACAGTGTACTTTGGAAAGACAGACAGACAGTGATGATAGTGAGACCTTAGAATGCAGCCTCTTTCCCATAGACCTGACTGATGCCTGTTCCTGAAGTGTGATCCTGCACAGTAGCTTGGAGAGATCAGGAAACAGGATCTTAGAGGCTAGATGTTTCTCTGACTTGAACGACAGCTGAAACTTGGCCGACCACCAGGAGGTGGACATGAGGATTTAAGCTCCCTTGGGTCTGCTCACTGAAACCCTCTCCTCCCTCTAGCCCAGCTATGAGATCAATGCTGAACCTGTATTTTTACTTTATCCAAGGGACACAGTAAAAGTTCAATTCTTAGATATAAAACTGCGTAAATAAGTTCAACATTTCCCTGTGCATCAAAAGTCAAAGCAAGAATAGTTTCTTTTCTTAAAGGTAAAAGCAGGATCTACTGAGCCCCATCCCCTGCTTTTGCACAGCCAGATTATTCAACTCTATTCTCCACACTTTTCTTCTTTCTGGACTCAGAAAGGCCATTGGCAAGGAGACCTGACCCATCAGAGGTGTCTGTGTCACTGTGAGTTTGGCTAAGTGGTTGAGATCAGGAAAGGGTGCGTCTATCTCTCTCTCTCCAGATAGATTTAGCTGCTGGTTCCTCCTTCTTGTGGGCTCCAGGACATTGCTCTTCTGCCTGAGGCTGCCCCAGCACTCTGGGCTGTGTGAGAACATTCTTACTTTCCCTGTGAGGCCCCTCTCCAGCGTTCGGCTGGCTTTAACCCCTTTTGCCCACCACCAGTCTTCTCTTTGGGGAACCATGAACGGCAGATGGCAGCTTAGAGTCCGAGACGTGTTCATAGGTGAATGCATATTCCACCACCTGGAAGGAGACCCAATGGACACCCCTTCTTGGACTAAAAACAGCTAGTGCCAAATCCCAGTGCTGCCATTTAATTTGTATGACTTGAGTGAATGCTTGCTGTGATTTTGTTTTGGATTCTTCAGCTGGGAATTATGGATAATAAACCCACTTTCTGGAATGACACTTGGCCCAGAACCCGGTGGTTCTCCTAAATTCCTCTCCGTCCACCGAACTCCCCCTGCCTAAGTGCAGGGAACAAGCACAGCTGTCACAGATCTGGGCACACAGACTCCATCTCACCCTTGACTCCTCACATACATCTTGGCCTTTGTTTCACAGACATGAAGCTAGTACACCCAGGGGCTTCTAAAATCTGCTTTGCCTTGTCTATACTAGATCAGTCTAGAAATTTTAACGCTTTGCAGATGAAAGAACACACTGTTACAGCTGCTGGAAGCATTGGACAAGGACATCAGGAGCCAGGGGCATCAGGAGCTGTGGGAATACTTCCCTCTGCCTACACTCTACTTGCTCAGGGGAATCTATCTTGTGTTCAGGTTTTCACCACTACAGCATGTCTTCATGGCTGCAAATAAAATCTGAAAAGATCAATTGATATTTAATTAGTACTCTTCAATTACTCCAAAATAATTTTTGTGGTCATTTAATTAAGGATTAGTTCTGGAAAAATAAAACTCAACAGAATAGTTATGTAACTGTTTCTGACCACAAGGGAGGCTTTAACTCAATGTTCTCTAGAGATGAGAACCCAACATAACAATTTTATTAGCTCTTATTAGAGCTTTGATACATACACTTCAAAGGAGTGGTCAACTGCCTTTTCGTCTGAAGTTCAGAAATCTTTTCTGGCATCTGGGCTGTCTGGATAGCAATTGCTTTCTGTAGGTCTTAGAGCTGAGGCCTTGCAAGAGACATCCTGCCTAGAGCCATTTATTTTCCTTCTCTCCATCTGCTCCTACTGGGGGTGAGAGCAATGTGAATGGTGGCTACTATAACCATAGCATTATCAAGACCAAGCCCTTAGGCGGTAGAAAGGTAGTCTGTGCAGTGGTAGACTCATTAACTTAGAAGCAGGTTGTGGACAGTGTATCTCTGTCTACCTATCTCTCTCTCTCTATCATGTATCGGCTATCTATCATCTGTTCTCTATCTTCATTCATTTATCTATAATCTATCCTCTATCATCTACCTATTATTAATCCATCTATTCTTTATCTACCATCCATCTACCATCTGATCTCCATATCTTTATCACTAATCTACCCATCATCTATCAATATATCATTCATCTGTCATGTATCCTCTATCAGCTATTAATATCTTTCATTTATATACTCCCTTTCATACATCTATCAATAATTTATTTATCTGAGTTGGAATAGCCATAAAGACCCTTTGGTTTACTGCCATTCTACCCAAAATCCTCTCAGCAGCATCACAATCCTTCAGTGATTGTTCAACCTCTATTTTCCAAACAATCATTGATTAGAGATGCCTAGTGCAAGAGTCAGCATATCCATGTACAGATACTTCTAT